CTTGCACTGATTACCGCTGGTGACTCCTTCGATACCTTCCAATCACATGAAAAAAAAGCTTGGAAACGTGTCAGTTCGTACTCGTTGATCTGCGCAACAGTCAAAATCGCCATCTTTGTTTATATGAGACCCATATATCTCGCACATGCGCAGCACGACGACTGCCGCGCTTTAAGCTCATTATATGTAAACATTTTTTTTCATTATTAATAAATAATGATATTTCTAATCAAATATATAGAAATCATGAGTTAACATGAGTTTGTTTTATTTATAAATAATTAGATTCGTACTATTATGCGTATATATATATATATCTTTATGTACATTTTATTATTTATAAATAATTTTACTTTCATTACTCAAATGTTATTTAATTATGACTTGAGATATGGTATACATATGAAGAAATTATGAAGGTCGAGTTCAATTCTATGAAAATAATCTATGTTGTAGTATTTATTTACAAACCAAGGAATAACGTAACGTATTATATTCTTTATTTATATATGCAAAATGCGTTATTTATAAATAAATACCATTGTATTTAAGTAAGCTCGTTATTTGTGAACAATAATACAGACTCGTGTATTTACTATTTCATTGCTAAATAAATTTGAATAAGCGCATTGAATGTCAATAATGAAACGTGAGCACCAAAGTGTATGTATAATTGCAACTCGAAGGATAAAACTTTATTTGTAAACCATGGACGTTGGTGGCGTCTTCACGGATTGGCCGCGCTATGATTATCTGGGTTAAGTACCTTCCATGTATACATGCCACAACTAGAATATTCAGTGTTTTTACTCTTTTTGACCAGATTTTTTGTTACTAGTTTGTTTGTGTAAGCTGTTGACAGGCTTGCTAGACAAGCAGTCTCGTTTGGTGAAGTTTGAGGGCACAATTGATTATGTGTCTGGTTCAAGAATAGATATACATTTACCGGACTAACGGCGATGAATCTAACAAGTCATTTGCAATGTTCCACACCACCACATCGTAACTGACGAGTATAAAGTCACCGCGAATAAAAAAATATTTGCCACAAGTGAAAAAAATCGCAACTGAAGTAATCCTCTCTAAATAATAGTTTGGTCTGTTGTATCACACAACCCTTTTGGTGACAAGCGTTTAGAGGCGACCCATTTGAAATCTGGGGAGGAATTTAAAAGAAATTGGTCGATTGCATACTTTTTTACACTGTTATATCAGACATTTTTTTCCTCAGCATACGACTGAACATAATTTTTTCTCAATAAAAATATTTTTTGAACTGCAGTTTTTATGGAGCCTGTGGCCTTTTTTTTCCTTGAATTCATCTTGCATCAATTTTATTTCCCAAAATCATCCAGGTCCCCTTCTGATTTTAAATGGATTATTCTCATCTTTCGCCCAAATTAATCAAGTCAGTATGTGTATACTGGCTGGTCCACGCTACTTTTATTAAACTGTTATATATTGGAATAAAAAATAGTAATACATGAAGTGACATTCAACAATTGAACAAATTTATTCACTGCTTTACATTATTTGTATTCATACCATTCCTTTGATAATGTATGATGCCATGGCCTCGTTATATATCAACAATTATAAATATATATATCTTTAACAACAAACATATATAATATTATTTCCAAATGATATTGAAAATGGCGTATGTACTGGTGTCTGGTGTTTCGAGCTCATTCGTTGGAACTTGTAGTAAAGTTATCTGAGTCATATAATCTCTTTATGTTAGTTTATAGAACAAACAATGGAAACGAATTATTTTTTTAGCTGATATAACCCCTTGTGGTTGAATATCATAACACACTTACACTGGTAATATGGCATCAGACATCACTATTCGATTTCACAATAATAGGGCGGTGCTGCATGTTGAGTGGATATCTGCACGCTTCTGGTTGTATTGTTTCGTGTTCATGAACTTGTATTTTGCTTTTGCCACTTTTATTCGATGATGACACACTGTTGCTACTGCCAAGTGCGGTCATACGGTAAATCTAGAAATTTTGCTACAGCGCCCTCTATTACAATTTATTGAAGTCTGTTAGTTTGTAGTGCATTGGAGTAGAAATGCCATCAACGTAAAAATGATAGCCATTTAAATACCGGGCTCCGTCAGTTTGCCGTCAGTGGAGAGTTAATTTAAATGTATTTTCTAGTAGCGATTGAAATGATTAATATCTATTGGTATTAACAGTAACACTGTGTTTTATTCTATGTATTTTATGGACTTGTATTTTATGATTCAAAATTTGCATGTTCATTACGACGATGCTCAAGTTTTATATGTACTTTTGTACTGTAGTTTACCTAGATGGTATAGACAGCATAATAAATTTCGTGAAGAGTACGAAATTACCACTATTATCATTCTGAGTAACGAAATAAGGGTAGCGCCCTCAACACACACTCCATACATGCATGCACACATACACCCGGTACACTGGTAATATCAATATAATAAACTAAGAATAACATACGAAATCATGAATTCAACACAACGTGGCACCTCCAATGGGCTAAGCTTTTGAGGCTGAAGAGGGAGGCGCCCTAAACCCTCGAGTAGACATGGTTTGCACTTTTCACGATGGGTGATTTTTTTGCTTGTTCTGTGTTTGTCGAAAGTTTTCTCCGTCCTTCTTTATACGCTGTAAAAGGGCATTTTTTATTGTTATATTCAGCAATGAGTGAATATTGACTTTGCCGACCAACATTTATCAGTAAACTTAGTGACAGTTCAACTTAGAGTTGTTTTGTCAAATGTACCATCTTTTATGCCAAATGACGTCCGCGCAATGCCATGGTTACCGTAATACATTCTAACCAAACATCTAGCATTCCATGTAGACACATCTATGACGACATCGATCATTGAACCCTTATTTGGTCATATAAATTTGAAATTACATCGGGCTGGCAGATTGGGTTGAGGAAAATCACTAACACCTTATTGGAATTGTGAATCAGAAACAAACTTTTGACAGGATTCATCGTACATATTTTTTGGGAGTTAATAATGCTCTAACATGTCCTGTTGAGCTTGATAGGGGTAATCAGCATGGGTGTTCACTATTTACTGCCCTCTATATGTTATCGCTACCATGCCTCTTGTTTATAAAATCAGTAAAACTATTGGTGAGTAGCCATGGCCGAACATGTTACCTTGCTGCATATGCAGATGGTGTTGAGGTTTTCGTTACCCGCAAACAAGATTTTGACAAACAAGACACTCTCCCGCTCGTTAAACACTTTGATGCTCGGGTGAATTTTTAAAAATCAGAAGGGCCATGGGCAGGCACATAGCGCAACATTTACTTGGTATACTGTAATTGGTCAAAACAGGATCACGTGTTACCGGCTAAATTACCATAATAGCGCCAGGGAAATTACTAGTTCCCTAGGGCGACTAGTACATCAACTAGTGCCCGGGAATGACGTCACTCGTCACCTGATCGTGTGATTTCCAGTATGTCGTCTGCTAGTTCGGTCGCTGATATCGAAGGTCTGCCTCGAAAGACTGGACGATTTAGTTTCAGTTCAGAAGAAGAACTTGACACACTAGTAGAAAATAAAGATGCACCGAAGACGAAGGACGTAATCAGTTTTTTTAGAAGCGTCTTTACATCGTTTTGTGAAGAAATCGGGACACCGCTAGCAGACATCGAGAAGAAGACGGCAGACGATCTATGCACGTTCCTCCGGCAATTCTACGCCGGGCTTCGTCAAAGTAATGGGCAGTTATACTCCTGTAAATCGATGGCGACGATCAGATATGGTTTGCAGCGGCACTTCAAAAAAGAGATCGGTATCGATATTATACACTGCAGCCTCGTGAAATAGCATGTATTATTGGTACCTCACAACCCCTCGGGGAAATTGACGTATACTAGTGCCCTCATGGCCATGCAATGCGTGCTTAATAGTAACATGCACAGATTTCCACTGAAACGTTTCAGGTCTGCACATTATCAAAAAACATTATTGGAATCTAATGATTGGTTCTTTTGGTGGAACAGACACAACGGCTCGATTTTGTGCCTTGCACACAGCAATCAAATACTCATATTGTCATATGCAAAATACTGCGCTTGTCACAGACAACAATATATTGAATAAATAACACGTGGTGACCAAACCCACCATAATAATTCAACTAATATATTTCGAGATTCAGATTTTAAATTAGTGGATTCTACAAAACCTTGTCAGGCCTAGCATTAGTTATATACAATTACATGCCCAGTTGTATTGAATTAGATTAGCGGTTCTTGAGATAGCTACCTCTGAGGTTCTCCACACGTGTCAGGGGGGAATCTCGTCTCGTCTTTCTATCGCGTCCCCTTGAGATACGGGATCGGGAAAGTCACTTAAACTCTATAGTCAAATAAACGCACACAACGAAATACGTTTCAACTCTCGTCTTAGTCGGTCAGTCGAGCACTCTATAAGACACAGCGCCCTGGGAAAAGTCGCCAAGACTATCGCAAGGCTGACCCAAGACTCTGCTAGACTGCGTCGAGACTCGCCCCAAGACTAAGACTCTCCAGGACTGCCTCTGTCGTGGTGTACTCTCCAAGACCAACTAAAAACTCTTTATTCACTTTTAAAACCTTAACCAATTACAAAGAAGTATTAAGACTCTAAGACGTGGCCTTCAATCATACAGCCAATCACACTAAGTACTGAACACGTCATATCTTTTGATTAATCGTTCACTACATTAATAACTGTGAATACCAAACTGTCAGAAATAGTAGTCCGAATAGCGACGGTTATCTCGTAATTAGTTCCAAATCACTGAGTCAAGTATCAGGGGTAAATTCTTCTTTCTGGGGTTTCTCCACACTTGTCAGGGGGGAATTTCGTCTCGTCCCTATATCTCGTCCCCTTGAGGTACGGGATCGGGAAAGTCACTTTACTTTACAGTCAAATAAGACACACACAACGAAATACGTTTCAGCTCTCGTCTTAGTCGGTCAATCGAGCACTCTATAAGACACAGCGCCCTGGGGAAAAACCCCCAAGACTCTCACAAGGCTGACCCAAGACTCTTTTAGACTGCGTCAACACTCGCCCCAAGGCTCTCCAGGACTGGACCACGACTCTGACTCTCCAGGACTGCACTCTCTCTACTGCGTCTATCGTGCTGTGCTCCCCAAGACCAACTCAAACTCTCTTTATTCATTTTCAAAACTCTAACCAATTACAAAACAGTAAAAAGACTCTAGGGCGTAACCTTCAATCATAAAGCCAATCACACTAAGTACTGAATACGTCATATCTTTTGATTAATCGTTCACTACATTAATAACTATGGATATACACTGTTAGAATGAGTAATCTAAATAGCGGCGGATATCTGGTAATTAGTTCCAAATCACTGAGCCAAGTTCCGTCCAAAACTTCAAATAGACCTAAACGATGACAGACATAACACAGCAATTCGCTAATAATCAGCTAATTAAGTCGGTTAACAGATACGCAAAAACAAATTCATGACACAAGTTCCGTCCAGAACCTCGCATAGGCCTAAACGATGACAGACATAACACAGCCATTCGCTAGTAATCAGCTAATTAAGTCGATTAACAGATACGTGCAAATAATTTCATCATATAGCGGAAATTAACATCCACTTATGCATGAATCTCAATACTGGGTGAAGAGGAAACACATTTGCACAGTAAGCTTACCCTTTGTAGTGTTTAATTATTTACCCCTTTACTAAACCAAGCGATGTCATGGTTTAAATAGCTCCACTATCTTTGTAGAGTGTTTTTCTTAAACAAAGTTGATAATGTTCTAAATGGTGAAATCTGACAGGGGTTCGCCCACGGCACCTACATGCCACTTATCAAAGCAATTGAGATGGTAATTTTTCAAGAAGTCGAAAATAGCATTTTTTAAAATAGCAATTGAAGATTTTGTCACCAAATTAACTAAACCTATAAAGGTCAACCCTATGTATATGCACTATCAATATAATTACTGTAGACTAATTAGTGTCATAATAGAAGACATTTTATCATTTTTATTTACTTGCAGTACAGTAGTGCAGGCGACATCCAGAACGTATGGATACTGTGTTGCGTGTTCTTCTCTGTTTACGGAGAATATTTAACCTAATGAACATTTAACCATAACCAAATGAACGTTAGATTACAATGACGTGTTGTGCATGGTACTTACACAGCAAGTGGCTACTTGTTTCAAGCTAACTTTATTGATTCAGATTATTGTCTTTTTGTTGCGATTATAAGCAATGTCTCTTGCCTGCTTTCCTAATTTCGCCACCACATATTCACATACATTTCTAGGGCGCCAATGTCAAAATATGCTCTTGTTCATAATTCCAGTAGCTAAAGTATGCATATTCTGCAGAAGGACAAACAAACGTGGGGGGTCATGAACCCGGTAATTCGCTTGTTTTGTTCAGATACAGTGTAAAATTAACATTAAAGGTTGAATTTAGCTTTTACAATCTGGCTACAGTGAGAACCAGTAACTTGAAGAATAGCTTGCACGTTTTGGGGGTTGTACGAATTTATTAGCTTACTATCAATTTACGTGTGAATCAAAAACCACAATGCCGAAAAACGTATACTTAATAATTATCAATTATTATTAATCAAACTACAGAAAACGAGCACATATCTCGAATATATTATACCCTGATTTATACACAATTGAATTATAATGATAACAATCCGCGCCATCAATTAATGGTGTTATTATTTCAAAATCTATACTAAATGTGTATATTGCATTAGGTGACATATAATTAAGATCAATTTATAAATATTTGATGTGTTTATTGAAGGTGAAATCAGATGATTGTTTAAAGCAAAATAGCAAAAATTAGTCTAAAATAAATTCATGTTAAGAATTTAATGACGAATATTTCAACAATTGTAAATTTAGTGATTCTAATGATACGTCAAACTGAACGGATTAGAGAAAAACTAGTATCAGCTCAGTCCGTTTTTTTCTCTCGACAACATATAGGATTTGCTGTGTTAATTTTTTTTTCATCATCTGATTCCTCTTTTCCAAACTATTTCGCCTTGCCAGAGAATGCGGTACATCCCTAACTTCACATCATCAATACATTGACTTTACTGGAACTTCTTCAGATATTGACCGGAAACATTTTGCAACTTTGTTTTACACAATCTTTAGGTGAAGTTAATAGTGAGGGAAGCGTATAAATGCATTGTCAAAATAATCTTTAAAATCTCGTATTATATGTACCAACTGTCTGATAATTCATGTATAATTAGTGTAGTTTGTAGCATTAACGACGCCATACAATGTTGAATTTATAATTGATTCCACAGGCATGCCAGATTCGAAGTATCTTGGAGCCTCCTCGTCATACAGAACTCCTGAAATAGAAGTCAAGGTTGATTTAATTTTTCAAAACATTATTCAGAAAAATCGGAGATACATACAGGACATGGATATGTTACATGACCTTATATCGACATCAAGTGACAATGCGTACAAGTCATACATAAAATAAATTATCATTATACAAGGAAAGAATTTTCTTAGGGTTTGAATAACTCTTGTTGTTATTATGCTAATAGTGATTATTTGTAAACACAAAAAATATTAATCATTTATTTCTTGGTCTTGCAATTTGGTAAAATCTGCTAGTTGTCAATTACATCATGGGACAGTAATTTTTAAAACAGTTGTAGTTGAAGTATGCTTACCAGCCACACATGCCGTCATAAAACACGTGACTGATCCAGCTATCAATGCCCTTACAGATAAAACTGTAATTTCAGTCTTCTTGGAAGGAACCAGGGAGCCAAATGCGCCAATGAATATAGCAACACCACCGATATTAGAGAATCCACATAAAGCATAGGTAGCAATGACTTCTGAACGTACCTAGAGAAGAAAAAATAGATTTACAATTCATGTTATAAAAAGTATGTTCCTGGTTAAATTATAGTTATATTAAAACATGTCATCTGTAAGACAAAAGGCCGCTATATATATATATAAATATATATATATATATATATATATATATACATTGATATGCCCTAATGCGCCTTAATAGATACCGGGGTACAGTTGCTGGAATGTTTCACTCGATCGTTTATAGTTTAATAATAGAGAGTATGTATAGTACTACCGAGATTGTTGGACCAATGCCAGTATTTCTATTCGTAATATAACCACCTAGTTGTTTGTATGCAACAAACTCATTGAGGAATGTCTTGACCCCAACCAGTTCAGCCACAATGTAACAGTCTTGTGGATCGACGCCCATTAACCATGCAACGGGATAAAGCACATAACGACATAGGAACTGTAACATAATGAACATATTGAAACAAAAATTAACGTATATATTTTTAACACCAACACTCCAACAACAAAAAACAACAAAAACAGCAACAATCACCGCAATCAACAATCATCGCAAGGTGTTTCTTATTAATTTCTTTCACCTGAAAGTTGAGTTCTGGATGATCCACCATGCTGCCAAGCCATGATAACACAGCGTTAAGAAACGCTAATGTAGAAAGAATTGCTATCAACTGAGTGATAATACTCGCACATATGTTCATCCCATCTGTTGCTCCATTTGCTGCAGCTTCTAAAATATTCTTTTCAGTCCTGGGACATAAACAAATATTGTAACATATCATCGACCATATTTGGACATTTTATTACGTAATTATTGAATTATATCTCCAACCAATTTTGGTTTTGAATCATTATTATTACAATAAATCGCGATATATTATTTTAAAATTCGAGCTAGTCCGAATGAAACTCACCGCTTTGGTGTGTACATATTGGTTTGATGTTTAGTCTTTGGTCTTCCCAGCTCAGGATAGAATATTTTGGAGACAGCAAGCGCAGCAGGCGCCGACATAACCGATGCTGATAATAGATGTGAAATACTGATGCCAAATGCAGCGTAGACACCAAGAATATTACCGGCTATAGTTGCATAACCGCTTGTTAATACAGCGTGTATTTCCGATGATGTCATGTCATTGAGATACGGTTTGACTACCAATGGAGCCGCTGTCTGGAAACAAATCTCGGAATTACCGTGTGTGAATATAGCATTAGTTTATGTTATACGCTGCAATTGGTTTTAACACTGGTCGCTCTGCTAAATTGCCTGTCATACTTTCCAGGATATTCTCTATGGTCTTCATTGGAATGGGTGTTATACGATAATCTCATTTTAAAATAGTATTTCAGATACGATCGGTTGTAGGTGCGCTACTTTTATACTATGAATAATCATGTAACGGCACAATAATTTAATTAGACTACAGAAGAAAACGAATGATCGGATGCACTATTGAAAAAAAAATAAGGAAAAAGTTCCTTTTGTACCCAACCCGTAATATTCAATTGTATATGTCCCTTCTAGACAATTGTAGGTGTCCTTAGGAGGGCAATATACAATTAAATTAGGGAATGCTGGAGGGCAGTGGTAGGATTAGAGTAACTAAAAGTAATATATGATTAAGCGAGGACCATTCTAGTATTGTCGATGCAGTTGCAGTATAAATGTATATATACACAAATTGACTACTCACACAAACAATATATTGAAGCTTACTTACCATGCCCATAAAGACATTGGCGGCTGCGGTCATGGCCTCTGCACCGGAAGCGTCCATAGTATATTGCATCGCCCATGCAAATTTGCCAGTAATCCAATGCATTAAACCAGTATAAAAAAGCATTTCCATTATATAACTAAAAAAAATTATCGCAGGAAGAGCCTGGAAATTGATAAACAAAAATACAATTTACAATGATGTATGTTATAAAGGGTAATAAAAGATATTTCGCCTGTATAGGAAAAACACACCGTGTACCTTGAAAATAAAAAAATGCACTTCAAGAGGGGCACTGAAAACGAATTCGGCCCCAACATCCGCATATTCAAGGAAGGTTTGCGTCCATCTCTCCAGTACCAGGAACACGTTGAATCCAACACTTGTACGCAACACAATAATTCCGATTAAAAACTGT